CTGAACCAAGCTAATGCAGAATCTTCTAAGAGATCTGAAAATGCCGTCAGCATACGAGATTGCGGAATCTCGCGGGCCTGTCTAAGTTCCTCTAACCTTTCAATAAAACTTCTAACGCAACTTGAACCATTATATTTTAAATTAAGCGAATTTAAGTTAATTGGTTTATCTCTAATTACTATTAATTCCTCACTTCCATTCTTTGCATTCTTCCCAGTTTTCGAGATAGGCAACTCATACTCATCCGTCTCTTGCTCCCTCACATCCTTCACGCTGGTTTTCCTACACTTGGGAGTACCTTCTTTATCACTTAATTCGTCTGAACTACTCTCATCTTCCTGTTCTACCTGAGCTAAAATACGAATGAGCCTGTGGCGCAAATCCACTAGAGAAGCATTCTCAACATCCAATCGAGCCAGTCTATCGATCAGATAATTAGCCCTAACTGACACACGTAAGTGAAGATTACTGTCTTTTCCGGGGTCACCTGATGACAGCAGATCCTAGAGCTCAGCAATTTTCGGCGTACAGGCCTTGAGCTCGCTTGCAGGGAGTGGTGTTATCACTGGGGCACACTTGATGCTACCGCGTCTCTTCAGCTTGAAAATTTGGCGAAGCTGCTTTCTCAGTGCATCCACCGATGTGTCAGGAGCTGTGGAAATGCCAAGAATATCCAGTTCATATATGATTTCATCCTTTCTTAAGTTTACATATTTTTGTAAAGAGAGCATTTTCGCAGATCTATCAAGTTAAAGTTAAATATTTTGTTATTAAGTTAATTACTAAATTTCACTTTCAAATCAATTTATTAAATTACTGTTAATCAAGTTTCTGAATCAAGCTAATTATTCAAGTTATTTAATTTAAGAATGTTAAATACTAAAAAAATTTTTTTTTTTTTTGAAGGAGGGTACTTTTATTATTACAAATTTCAATTATTATAGACGATCTTGTTCACTGTTTAAGGTTAAAAATTACTAAGTTAATTAATTCTAAAGTGTTATTCTAGTGTGTTTTTCAGACTGATTGGGGATTTAAGCATCAATGTTTCCACCAACCTTTTTATCATCATTTAAACACATGTGTAGTTTTCAAGAGTACTGTTTATTAAAGATTTCTAAGTTGGTTATTACCAGTAGTTATTAGGTTGTTTACTTCTAATGTGCTATTCAGACTGATTGGGGATTTAAGCATTAATTTTTCCGCCAATCTTTTTTTTTATCATCATATTAGCACATCAGTATTTTCCACAAATGCTGAATATTAAAGATTTCTAAGTTAAATTTTTCGAATAGTTACTAAATTAATTATTTCTAGTGTGCTGTTCAGACTGGTTGGGGATTTAAGCATTAATTTTTCCGCCAACCTTTTTTATCATCATATTAGCACACCAGTATTTCCCTCAAATACAGTATTTTATTGCTCGGCCCTTAAGTTGGTCGCCATTTTGTAACAATTTTTGTTACCACCGACTATTTCAGGGCTTTTACATGAGACTCGAAATTAATTAATCTATAATCAGGGCGCCGTTTTACTGTTATTTGAGGGAGATAAAATGAAAATCAATAACCGCAGTGAACAAGATAAATGTATTGTTAATATTCAGTTCAATTTTCAACATATATTAACACACTTAACATTATAAATTAAGATCTTTGAAGATGGCTTTTATAAATTAAGGTATAGAATATCAGTGATGAACATACAATCAGAACATGTGTACATACAGTTATATTAATGTTAATATTCTAAGGAAACATTTTGTTCTATCAAGTATCGTACATACAAATTTATTTATATAAAGATTCTAATGAAACAATTCGTTTGGCAAATATGAAGCTACTTTCGTTAATGAATCTACAGTTTACAACAATAAATCTTTTATTTATGTTCTAACAATCTGAAACTTCGTACTTCGGAGAATGCACTGCTTAAAGATTAAATAGGTTGAAAGTTTACTTAGCTTTCAAGATATTGGTACCATCAAGCGATTCCGGCATCCACGTGGATGGTAATAGAATCTGCTGTCATCACCAGTGTTCTTTGTTTGATCAAGATTGCATTTACAGGCTCATTTATATATATATATATATCCAAAGAAATCCCAAGCAGGATTAAGTAATTGTGATTATCGTATACTGTTTTTAATTAGCCACTTCAAAGGACCTAGAAACAATTACACATTTTTCTATAGTTCAATAAAAAACCTAACTTGACCTACAGCCTAAACAGTTAGCTATATTGGACTTACCCGTTAATCCAGGGAAAATATTTCAATTAATTATGCACTGACTATACTTTCCAGTCACTGTGCAATTTACTAGATGTTCAAGTGTTCGGTTCGCAGACAAAAGAGAGTGAAATCGTCTGCGCAAAGCTATTTATAGTGGCCTAGGATCACGTGACGGCGTCCTAGCAAATTTCTCTCAAATCACCATATTTGGTGCGAGGAATCGACAGGACCGGTTAATACGGCTACGCCCATCTCCCTCCAAGAAACTGCTTCCTGAACAATAGCTAATCACGTCATCAATACGTGTAATTTCATTTAACACTATTAAATACAACTCCATCTATCTCATCATTCAAATACAACTATCATTTTTTTTTTCATAATATATTCTGTGCTTCTTTAAAACCAATTACATTGTTAGATGATGGATACGTATGGTGATAGATGGCGCTTTGATTAGTAATATTTCTACAACTTAATATTCTAAAATTATATTGCTACAGATTAGGTAAAAGTTTAATTTTACTACGTAAATGACGTTTCTCTAATCACGTCACACGTCATTTTTGTCAGAAAACGTTTCATTTCACGTTATTCTTTACTTTTCCGTGATGTTTTTCGTTTCGTTTCACTCAAAAATTAAGTAAATGAAAAAATAAAAAAAATACGTAGGTACCTCTCCGGCAGCCAAAATCGATATCAGGAGTTTCAGTAAGACCCCCTGAGCCCCCCTACTGTGTCAGTTTCCCCAGAACGAGGGAGCTTATTTCTAAATCCAACCCGTGCGTTTACAATTTGCATTGAAAGATGAAAACGTGCATCACAGATGTAGTCTTCTTCAGTGATCTAAAAAAAAATACATATATCTTTTTTTAATTATGTACTATAGTCCACCAAATATAAACAAAACATTTTTTACTGCAAATAATTAATAAAATTATCAACATATAGGATTATTCTTATGAGACTTTATTGTGGACATAATAACAATAATGCTTAATTTTCTGTAAGGTTTGTTACTAAGCTTATTTTCTTATTAATTTCTAAGAAACAGATTCTTTGATAATTACAACCTATTGAAATATACAGATTTTATGATTCACTTAATAAGTCAAGGAACTTACTATAACTGAAGATACCCAATTGCTGATGAGAGAAACGACCCGTGGATCAAGCTGGAGAACAGCATGACGGCGCAATGTGTTACATGCATTAACACATATATTACAATTTACACATTGTATGCGCTCATGCATTCTCAATGACATCGCTGTTGGGTTCATGTTTCCAAAACAGTACAAATCGAAAGCACAACTCGGGAGTCCGTGGAACACAAGCCAATTTAATCGTAAGTGCAGGAATCGGTGTCCGTGTGAAAATATCCGGGTTAATCGTGGTCGCAAATATCGAAGTCCGTGGACAAAGCAGTCGTTAGGAATTTCACAAAATCACAGAAGGTAAGTACACAACAACGAAAGCGAGGAGAGCAAATGAAGGAGTGAGTGAGGAAGGTGGGGGGACAACACACCCGACTTGATATTTTTTTTTAGTTTACAGCTCTGGATCTCGGAGTTGCAGGGGTCAGTGTTGCCACCATATGTTACCAGAATTACGGTACCCTTTTGCGAAAACTTTTTTTTTCAAACAGGACTCTGATGTACAGTGCGTCCATGATCTTGTGGCACTTTTATGACATTGACAGGGGGGCGCTGCTGGTGTAATAATGAGTTTACAGCACAACACCAGGCAAGTTCCGTTTGTAGAGCAAGACACACAGAATACGTGCAGTATCCCGCTTCAACCGCTATTTTTGTGTGGAATAAAGAGTTCATAATACTGCCTTAGATGTTTTGGGGCAATATTATCTATCGTTATAAAAAATAATAATATTTTATTATTAAATTAGCGTATAAATTGAGATGATTGGTACTATGAGCAGCTGTCATTATTGCTGGCATTTTTTCGGAACGAATTTCCTTCTCATGTAGTCAGCCGAAGAGATGATGGAGTCCTAACTATTTCGGTCATGTTTCACTAAGAAAATGGCTAGTCTTTGTTAAGATCGGAAAGAAACTTTAAATTAAAGCCGTGACTTTTAAGTATTACATTACCATTTAAATACGGTAATTACCGCGTGGCTGGCAACATTGGAAAGGAGAGTGCGAATCTACATTTAAGCTGCGTTCATAATTATGTCATTTTACTTTGATACAATACTCTTCCCTAATGGATGCGTTCGTGTGATAGCAAAAAATGTACCTACATAATGGTTATTTTCAAAAATTATTTTTGAAAAAACTGGATTGTAGTTTTTGTTGATATTTTGATTTCATAATAAGCGAATAATTACCTTTTTTTTTGAGGTATGTCACATAATTATATATGCCAAAATTTTTTACAGAATTGACAGGTCACAAATGGGCATCCTTCTTTCGCTAATTTTACCAAAAACTGAAAACACCTTACTTACCTAATCTAATCTCTCATATCAAGTAGGTATAAGAACATAAATAAAAAAATCTCATTATTTTTAAACACACCCTATATGTGCGTGATTTAGTATGAATGCGATTGTAAGAATAAAATTCAGACTAATGCTACATTTTTATAAAATATTAAATCTACATATGAAAACTTAATTAAATTGCCTACAAAATGCACGACATGCAGAATGGCGCTAAAAATTACCGTGCGTTTACACTTCTGATTGTGCTTTTCTTGTTCACTTTTTGTCGTATTCACTCTATACCTTATCTATGGTATATCGAAAACCGTATACGAAAATACGTCTAAGAACAGAAGTTGTAAGGAAGAGAGTCGTTAGGCGACCCAGAGCTTCATATGATGCTCGCGGTCGTTGACGCAGGGTTTTGCAGCATCCATGACTCAAGTGCGGAATAATAATATGACTTTAAAGGGCCCATCAAACTACATCTGAGGGTTATAATTTGTTAGTAGTGTGAGGATGAAAGGTAAGAACTACAACACCCGATTGTTTCCCTAAGTCTAGAGCCTCAATGGACAAATGTGACTCATGATTATCCATTATATGCAGAGATGGATATTCCGGTGTCATGCCTGAAATGTTTCATTACCTCCACGAATAAGCCACTAGTCATCCAACCTGAAGGACTCGCAAGACTTAAACTACTTGGAGGTGCACCGTGCTCCATTAAGTTTTTAAAGTTTTTAGTGACAAGAGTACCTTTTTCTCACTTGTCACTTAACCTACTTAAGCTCCTGTTGGAGCCACAACTCTCTGTGGTTTCAGGACGGTTGTTGTGCCGTAGGTGAAGAATTGAGATTTATCGGACTTTTAAGGATTTACCTTTTTGAAGCAAAATTGCCGCGGGAAGGTAAAATTTTATTTTAAGGGCTACCGCCTTCTAGTTTTCGTTTATTAATATATATTTAACGTATGTTAAAACGTATAAAAAAGAGAAAAAACTTAAATACTAATATTCTACCCTGTAAGGGAGTAGAATATGTAAAAATACCTTAATAACAAGAAAAATAACTATGCTAAAAATTTTCCGACGCGGGGAAATATTAGTTCTTGGTGTTATGCACTAGAAATACAAAAGTCTGGGTTGAAGTGATGAAAGACCACGGAGATGTTCAAGGGGTATGATTCTACCCCAAACTATAAGATAAGATATCTCCCGATGTACTTGGTTTTGAGGGGAGCTCTTTTTATCGATATGTAGGGCTAAGCAGCGTCTACCCTCGCTCCTCTTGAAAATGTGTGCCTCCCTTAGTAAAAAAGGGAGATATTCTACCCCATATGTTCTTCTTAAACTGACTTAACTCCGCGGTCCTGTGGTCGATTTTCAATCGAGAAGCGTCGATGAGCTCGCCGCAATGTCGCCCGTCTTCCGGCACCTTCGGAATCTCCCAGATTTGTCCAGGAGTGTGACCACGTATTTGCAGGTTATTCTCTTTTCAGAGAATAACGCCGCAGTCTTCCTCGCTGTGTTCTCGATTGAGATTCGGTTTGGTAGGCGGAGGTGCCTGCAACACAACATCTGGAGCACAATCCTCATATCCAGAAGGTGGCAAAATTATAGTAAACTAGCTTTCCACCAGAGAATTGCTGTGTGAAATTTAAGACAAAAAGATAATAAATGTACTAATGTACCAGTTACCATGTATTGAAGAACAGTCATGTTGCTCTGACGTTGACGGTACAGGCTCAAGTGTTCGTATATTATCATAATATCATATTAGGGGATCGGCCAAATTTTCAGAAAGTGTTTTAAATTAATCTGTGTGGATCGTTATTCCCATAAAAAATCAAATTTTATTTAATTATAGTCGTTTAGGCACTCAAAATCGTATTTTAATATTGTTTGTTTAAAAATCCCGTCAAAACGCCACGTTATGTCATAACAAAACAAACGCATGAGCTTATGTTCGCGAGAAGTTTTTTTCGTGGAGTAGATTCTTAATATTGTTGTTATGGTACGAAAAAAATATCGGTGGTGTGTAGTACCTCAATGTACGAACACGTCAAAAACTACTCCAAATAAAATATTCATTGACATGCCAAGAAAAGCAGATATACGAAAAAAATGGTTAAACTTAGCAAGAATAAAGTGCGACGGAATGTCTGTAACTTCACCAATTTACTTTTGTGAAGATCATTTTGATGTAAGTGTACAGTAATTACTTACTACAAAGAAATAAAATGAAATGTGCTTAAATTAATTTGTAGTAAATATACATTGTGTAATGTTAGAGGTTATATTTACGAGTGCATACATAATTTTCACTTGTTTCAGCTGCCGAATGATATGGAAAATTACATGCGATACCATGTAATGGGCACTGTTGATAAAGTAATGTTGAAACATGGCTGTCTACCTACAAAATTTCAATGTCAAAGTGACAGAAAAAGAAGTTTGTCTTCAACTGTAACATCTCGGCCCGCTGCTATCAAAAGGCAAAGATTGGCTTTAGTACAGGAAGCTCTCGACGACAGTACATTGGAGAGTGATACCAAAGAAGCAAATATAACTTTGTCTCCTAGTAAGTACTTATCAGAACCAAAATATATGTATGTAGAAGTCATAGTCGAACATCCAAAAAATCAAGATAAGGAGTTCAAGTTTTTGTGAAGAATACATATTTCAGAAGTAAGTCAACGCAAACAGAATTCAAATCACATAGTATTGCAACATCACTATCCAAAACATGGACATCAACCGTATCAACATCACCCTTTAAAGTAGAGCATGTAAAGCCAGCTATGCCATTTGCTTCCACAATCCATAGAAAATTACTTGTGGATAGATCTGATAGTGACACATCACTGTGCAGCCAGTCAATATTTCAACCATCTTCACCTTCAGTCCAATCATTACAGTTGAAATCACTGTCTGACAGCAGCAGCTTAAATGAAGAGGAAGTTGTATTAGAAAAGAAAAGAGAAGCAAAGCAAGCTCTAGACAATATGTGTAAGAAAATTCAAGCCAAACCACGATTGTACATTGGAATTACTAGTGACTGTTACTTTTTATTAGATTTAATTGAAAAAAATACCAACATACCTGTTGTGAACATATTACTGTGATTAAAAAAAATAAGATTGAATACAACATTCTCAGAACTTTCTGATCAATTTAGAATATCTACATCATATGCTGGCAAAATATTTATAGTCTATTCACTTTGGCCTGAGACAAAATGTAAACAAAGAATCTGAGGTTCTTAAACTTTTTTAGAAAATGCACGCTCGCGTCAACAGTTTGATCGGTAGAGCGAAGATGGCTGACGTGAAAAACCAACCGATTATAAAATACAACATTTCAACGTAAAATACTTATATCATGTCTACTCTTTTATTTTGTCGTATTATAATACGTCTTAGTTTGGGAATGATTGTGTTTTTAGGTCTTTTTCCATGTCAACAATGTTGTTAAAATATTTTATCAGCAATATAAAAATATACTAATTTATGATGTGTATGTATAATAAATATATGTATGTAAAATATTTTATTTTCTCATTCAAATGTATCTACCAGCTTTTAAAAAAATTAACCAAATGTTTCACTGCATTTCCTATGTAAATAGTATTTAATCTTTACTTTTGTCAAAAGTGACCTTAAAAAGTATCCTTTTTATGGTTTGTTTACATTTTGTCTCACGCCAATGTGAATAGACTATAGAAAATGTATTCCAATGATTTCTGATGTTCTTAAATCCTTTATTGTAAAACTAGATAAGAAAAAAGTTAAGACATCCCTTCCAATCGCATTTAGGCATCGCTACAATAAAGTCAACTGCATTATAGACTGTTTTGAAATTGAAATAGAAAAGCCTTCTAAATCTGTACATCAGGCATTAACATGGTCTGAATATAAGAAAGGCAATACAATCAAATACTTAATATCAAGTACACCAAATGGTTTGGTAAATTATATATCATCAGGATATGGAGGACGGATAAGTGACACTTGTGGAAAACTGTGATTTTCTTGACCAACTAGAACCTGGAAGTTGGGTCTTAGCCGACCGTGGTTTTAAACATATTGAACAAATGTTAATCCAAAAACAATGTCATCTATTAAGACCCCCAAGGGGCTAAATTAAGCAAGAAAGAGGTTCATCAAACTAAGCAGATTGCAAGCTTAAGGATCCACATTGAGAGGGTTATTCGGAGAATACGGGAATTCTCCATGTTAAAACCACATTCCGTGTTGAATTCGAAATTGAAGATGAATGTGTCATTATAGCATGTGCTCTTATAAATTTACAGGACCCCATTGTATGGTAATATAGTTCTAGTTTAGCCCACATTGTTCCACTGCTGGGCAAAGGCCTCCCCTTCATCTTACCGCCCATCACAGCGCGAACTGCTACCAATTTTAATAAATCTTCATGAATGCATGAAGATTTTTTAGAAATAAGTTTTTGTTTGTATTTTATAGTATATTGTAATGTATTCAAATTCAAAATGCAGGTGAACAATTAATGTATAATTCCACATTATGTAATGAAAGGTGACTTCATGAATCATCTCTGAAGTCATTTTTCAACTTGACGACTCTGAAATGATAAAACAGGGAGAAAAAAACAGCCCTTGCTGAGTTTCTTGCCGGTTCTTCTCAGTACAAGGTCTCCCGCCGTAGATTTACGAACCGATGGCGTAGCTTCTAGACATTCATATGTGCTTGTAACAGCCTAAACTGAATAAATGATTTTGATTATGATTATGATTGATTCAATTAATCACCAATAATAAATAAAACAAATGAGTATATGAAGCCATAATGTATTTTATTTCGTGCTGTTGTATAATATTGGGTATACATTTTTCTCCTAAAATTTGTACATACTGGAAATGTAATTAGTAAGCAAACTTTCATCATATTTGACTTACAGTACTTCCACATTATTTGTGTCTTCAAAATTATAGTCCGCAACACAAAAATAAGTTATTTTCAAATTTGTCACATACATTTGAACTTGCAATTGAGCCATATATTTTTGTGTAACTTTTCCATCTTTTATATAATTTTTAAAAGTGTTTTCACTAGTGGGGCATTTTATTTCAATGCAAATTTCACTGTCACAAATACCATCAGGTGTACCAGCCAGGAAAGGATTTTGTGGGGAAATAAATAAGCCACATTCTTTTATTTTCTTGCCTAGTTTCTTTTCCACTGCTTCTCTTACTTTGCTTTCCAATACCCGACCTCTCTTCATCGCTCTTGTGTCTGGAGTTTTGGCTGCCATGATCACAGCCACCAATGATTCATCTGCAGTAAGGCACTTGCTTACTTCGTAAGCTTTTGAAGCTGTAACTCGCCCGTACCTTAACTCATGCCACAACTTGCTTTTATGTTGAGCCCGTGTGTTCTCTTCAATAATTTTAATATTTTCTTCTGAAAAATACTGGGATATTTTGTTCAAAAATGAACCACAGTCACTTTCATCACAATGTTCTAAAATTAAGTAATGTAGTGAAAAATTCTCAATCTCATTAGTTCTGTTGTTACTGTAGTTTAATAACTCACAGTAAGATACACCTCGGTTTGATGCTTCTTGGAGAATTTGTGACAGAGAATCATTTTGCAATGCAGTCCGTGTAGCTTGTATTTTAACAGTAGACAGATCTTTGGTAGTAAAATATTTCTTCTGCGGACCCACATCAAGAAAGCTACTGAATGTTTGCAACCGCCTGTAGATGCAGCACAATCATGACACTGGACGCTTACAACTTTATCTTCTTTTTCATCTGCTATCATAGTCGCTGCATACGATTTAGAACGAACTTTGTGTTCTGGACACACCCTGCATTCAATGGTTCACAAGTCGAAATCACGCCGAAGTTGTACATATCCTATAGCATCGTCGCCGTATGATTGTCTTGCTGATCTGAAAAAAGGTGAAAGTAAAGTATATTTTACGTGACAAAAATGACGTAATATTTTGTACAAATTCTTTGAAGTTTATACTTTATAGGTTATGTTTTGTATGTTATTTCAATAGTAATTTTTCAAGTACATAGGTATTTAATGGCAAATTATACATTATTAAGTTATAATACTTACACAGAAGTTTTCACATTGCGAAATTCAGCGTCACAAAAGTCTGAATTACTTGCAAAGAAATTGCAAATCATAAACATATCCACTTTGGGCAGATTTCGATTGTCTGCTTTCGTAAATCCTGTTTCCATTATGATAGACTGGAGACCACGTGAGAGTTTTTAAACTGATTATCGTATCCTAATTTATCAGTAATATTTTAGAAACTTATATGATTTCAACAAAATTATGGAAATATCTGAGTGAACTAAGGTGTACTATCCGTGCAGTCAATGTTTGCCCACAAATGACGTTACGCACTGTGATTGGTGTTTCAGTACAGATTAAAAATATTGTAAATCTTAACATTTTCTTTCTTCATTTAAAAATAATTAAATGAATTA